CTCCTCCTCCTCCTCCTCCTCGAAAACGCGGACCACCCTATGCGATATTGTAAATCATTGCATATCAACGCGCATCGATTTAACTAATAATGGTTCGTCAATGACGACGATATCACAATCATTTTCCTTATCGTATTAAATAACAGTATAAATACTTTTTTTATATTTTATTAATGTTATTGTTATTTTATTCTGAAGTATATGATTGATTATTAAAAATATCATATTACCATATGCGTACAATATTTTCTTTATTCTCTTGTTGTATTTAATTCCATTTTTTTTGTCCTTTCCTTTTGATAATAAAATTGAAAAAAAAGTAACAATAGGAAGAAAAGAATAGGAATAGGCTTTATTGTTGAATCGAAATTCGCTACTATTGCTTCTTCTTTCTTATCTTATACTGGCAAACTCGTTGAAGTCAATCTATCTCTCTCTTACTCTCCCGTTTCCTCACTCACTAACTCGTATACTTTCTTAACGTTGTTGTTTAGAGGCTTAATTAAGCGCAGCTACTTACGTAAGAGAAAATCCGCTACCGAAAGTTCCGAATGTATTTTACGAACTCGGTTAACTGTTTGCTTTGAAAGAGAGTAAGAACTCTATTTCTTTCTCACTCTTTCTCGATGAACTGACCTGTGCCAACGTTCGGTTGGTCGGTCCAAAGAGGATTCGTGGCTTCGGAGCCAACTAATTCGCTCCGTGCAAGGGAATTCCCTCGGGATAGTAGTAGCTATATATTCCACTTGATATCCCATGAAAGTCGACTTGGTATGCTCAAGTATACACTTCCAAACGTGTTGACTTGCTCGTAGAAAAAAGAACAAACAAACAAGTAAAGAAGAAAAAAGAAAGAATTAAAGGAAGGGATCGATGAAAAATCAATCCAATTATTTGTGAAGTATGATGACCCCGTCAATGGCGTCAAATGACGTTTACTCGAGGAACGATTGGCCGGACGTCCGTCTGGAGAGTTATCTCAAACCGGTTAGATGAAGTTAGAAAAAGAAAGAGAGGTGGGAGAAAAGGAAAGAGGAGAGGGCTCGACCTAAACTCCGCAAGGAATGTGCCTCGGGAGAAACTGGCCTCCGATGAGTCCTTGCAACAGACAATAAGAAGATGAACACGAAGGAAAAAAAGTTTGATACAAGAGGTAGAGGTATAGTTAGGTAGGTAGGTAGGTAGGTAGGTAGTATGTGCCAGCGAAGACACACACATACACGCGAGAAACGTGCCTTTCGCCGTCGTACACGCACGCACGCACACACACACACACAAGCACGCGCACGCCCATTCTATCGTCCAATAGGAGCTTGCTACGTCATCTCGTACGATGTAACGGAGAGACTCACCCACGTGGTCTAAGCGCCGCGCTATTTCGAGATCGCTTGGAGAGAAAATCGCGAGATCGTTCTAAAACGATCCTTCTAGAACGATCTACCAAGGGCTATGCCTTTCCCCGTCCCCTTCCCCGTACCCTTCCCCTATCCTCACCCTCTCCCTCTCTCATTCTTTTACTTTCTCGTTTCTCTTTCGATTCGTTTCGTTTCGTTTCGTTTCGTTGTTCTTTTATACTCTCGTACTTACTTATTCACTTACTCACTTCTTAGTGACTTTACTTTTGACTTTTTACTTTAGCCTCAGCCCTCATCTTCTTTTCCTTCTCAATCTAGTTACTATCGTCGTCAAACTTGACGACGCGATTTATAAGGAAAAGTATTTCGCTAACTCGTCTTCTCTGCTTCTTCTCTGCTTTTTTCTTTTGTTTTTCTATTATACCCGATAGTAGACTATGTATGTAGAAAATGGGTCGTTGCACCAGACGCGAATCGCATTTCTAAGGACGCGCGTGATTACTTTTCTTTTCTCTTTTTCTTTTTTTCTTGATATCTTCCAAGGAAATATATCTACTAAAGGTAAGGATTTTTCTTGCACGTTTGGCATGATCGTTAAACGATTTGTTTCCTCTCCCATCCTCCTATTTCCTTTCATTTTCAAGTTATTCTGTCGGGTATCTTCACTTTTCTTCTTCTTCATTTTGATTTTTTTGGACTTTTTGACATTTCCCTGACATACGATGTTTTAAAAAGATCTCGTCCAGCTGTTACGCTTCCGTAATTTACGAATTTTCGTAGACGAATGAAAAATGTCGAGATTTTTCAGTACTTTAGTGACAGAATGAAATGAATTCATTCCTCATACAGACCGGAAATACAATTTTTGCGAAGAGAGAGAGAATATATAATATTTTCCATAATGAATGAAGAATATACATGGTCGTAGGAGACATCCGAATTAGAAGGATAATCCGTGGTAATTATAAGAAGCGTAAAGTTTTACAAGCGGAATTCGCAAATATTACCACGCGAAATAACTGCATCCGGTGGACGTAATAAAAAGAAATACTTGTTACGAGGAGCGCGATTATTTCGCTGGATTGCAAAGAGAAATTTATTTACGTAGACTTTAGTTTTTTTCTTACTACTATTTTTTACTTATCAAACGTTTTGTTTACTCAACTTTCAAATACGACTTTATTCCTTCTCATCCCTATAATTAATTATATTTATTAAAATGATGAGTAGTTAAACTTATTCTTTTAATTTTCGTACGTTTCGAGTATTAAATGACTTGTTTACAACATTTATCATGCAATTGTATATCATGATATTGCACTGAGATTGCATCCAAGGATGAGTCGAATGCAACGTGATGATAGGTCATTTCTATGAACGAAAAAGAGAGATAGAAAAATACACGTTTTCTATATTACGATGATGCCAATTGATTAAGATCGTAAACAAGTTTTCCTCGTCGCAATTTTAATTGGAAAAAATATACAAAACGGAAATGCACACGCAAATTTCTCATATGTTTATGCTATATACAGGTATATATATATATATATATATATGAATACTTTCAACGAATTCCTTGGCGATCGTTGAAATAAGACGATCAACAAGATAGGAGACTAAAATAGTCGAACGGCGTAACTACTATCGTCAGCTTTCGTGTAGCTGCGTACGCGGAAGATATTTTTCAAAGTTACGTGGCGTTTTTTTTTTCGTTTCGTATGATTGTTCTCGTTTAAATTATGATATTGCCATTTATGCAAATAATCTATTAGCATATGTATGAAAAAAACATAAGGATGATTGAGATGAAATGAAACGAATAAATGAATCATATTATTTCAGATATTTGTCTTCCTTTTTAAACATCTACAATTAATTTCAAAATCGAATTATCACTATTTTCTATGTTTTTTGCTAAACAATGTTATATATATAAAAAACAAATTAAAGATGATAGATAGAAAGAGAAGGAAATTCACGTATAAAATTCGCTTATCTCGCAGCGATATCAATCACGTCCGTTAATTAAATGTCCTGATCTGCGGCAAACCTAATTACCGGCGAGTTTCGGCTCGGAGCAATGAACGAAAGAATGAAATTTTGCTTCATCTATGGAAGGAAGGAAGGAAGGAAGGAAGGAAGGAAGGAAGGAAGGAAGGAAGGAAGGAAGGAAGGAAGGAGGGAAGGAAGAGGAAGGCGATTCGGATTCGTGTCCGCTTTGGGAATCCATTTCTTTTTCTTCAATCTTTTCATCTTACCTTTGTCTATCTCTATCCTATCTATCTTTCTTTCATTCTATTTTTTAATCTCAAAGTGTCACGAATTAATTCTCAAGGGATAATTGCGATATCGTGAAATCTTTTTCTTTTCCTAACTTTCGAAGAAGAAAAAATAATATGATTGAATTTAAAGATTGTAGTAATATGATTTTCGCGAGACAAATCGAATTTTGATCTTTGAGAAAAATCGAGGAAATACGTTAATTCGTTCGTTAGTGCATTGAACCGTTAAAGGTCGAGCCAGCTGTAAGGTAAAAAGGGCGCGAGAACGAAATCAGCTAAAGGGAAAATGTTTTTTTAGCTTCTCCGTAATACGCTCGCTAGTTTCCTGATTCGTAGGCAAGTTTTTTCAATATTCTCCACTTTGATTAGTTTAAAAAATCATCTAGTCGAAAAGATAGAAATAGAAAAAGAGATTAAAAGCACGTGGGCATAAGGCCAATCACAGACGGAGAATACGAAATAAAATTTTGTTCTCTGATACGTTCATACTAGAAATAAAATTACCCTTGACACTCGAAAAAAAAAAAATAATAAGAGAGATACTTACGAGAATAGAATGCAGTCATTAATAAGGCGAACCAGGACAGTTGGTGTTCCATAGGTGTTCTCATTTCTAGATTCCTTTTCTTAAATACTTGTAGTCCTTATCTGTTCTCACGAATAAACGTGATGACACTCGTCCAAATTAAATTGACGAAGTTGGTTTCTTGTTCTTTTTCAACCCACAAGAGGAATGCTTTTCCTTCTTACGTCACTATCTCTCTTTTCCAATTTAGAAAAAAAGAAATAAAAAGTGTGAAAGAGTTTGTTTCAAAATATTTCTTCTTTTAAAACTAAAAACAAATGTGACAAGATCGATATATCTCGATTGTCTATTCGAAATCTCATACGATTCGAACGTATTATAAATAATGAATAACGGAAATAATTATAATAAATAGTAAAACGTTTAATATGAAACGTTGAATGAAATATAAAAGCGTGTTTGAAGTTCCGTACTTTGCAACCGGCCGTGCACGACTGAGTGGCAAATGCATTTTGGCGGCATGAAGCTTTGAAGCGGATCGAGTGCGCTTGCGCCGATCGCTCACGCCACCGGACTTCTTTGGAAGGGGCAAACACTCTCCTTCTATCTCTCTCCTTACCTCTTCACCCTTTTATTGTCTCTCTTTCTCTCTCTCTCTCTCTCTACATTCTTCTCTCGTTCTCTAGTTTACTCTCTTGGATTCTAACTTTATCGCTCCTTCTCTCTTGCTTTTGCCATTTCATTCTATCTTTCTTTTTTATTTCTATTTCAACGAAACATGCTGGTGCCACTATCATTTACGGTTTACCTTAACAACGATATCAGTCTTTATCGAATTGAAACTTACGTCTTTGAGAAATTATTTCACAGTTTGCGAGCCTCGAAAGAACTTATCTTCAATTTGCATGTCGCTTTAATCTATCTAAGAATCTGATTTACAAGTTTTATCTTTCAATAGTTGTATTGTTTCCTTTAATGTCAAGAACATCCAATATTTGATAACATATTTTAACCGATAGATCTTTCTGTTGATATTCATGTTATTGGTAATCATCATTTAAATAGATTAAATATTTAATAATAGAATTATAAAATATCGACGTAATATCAGAATACCACGTTCATTTATTATCACTTCAAATAGCGAATATCTTTTCCACTAGAGTATATACTGTTTGGAATATTAATTCGATAGATTCGTCAATTCCATCTTTGCAACGATAATTATTCAACCTGTTATTGGCACACTTGGAAATATTCTGACGGATAATTTCAACGAAGTGAAAATTCTTCATTGACGAGAACGAATCTACGAGTTAAATGAGATGAATAATACAAATCAAAGTTGAGTGGATTTGGTTCGAGAAATGGAGAGAGAGAGAGAGAGAGAGAGAGAAAGAGAAGTGGATAATTCACATAGATCCATGTATATAAATATAATTGAAAGTAGCAATGATTTTACATGTATTTAATAACGATTTAATTATTAATGATATAAAACTCATGAAATGTAATATACTTATTGGTATTTGAATTTCAATCAATTTATAAGATTATAATATAATATTAAAAAGTATCGTTCATCGAAAGAATTCACGTTCCTTTTTCTCTTCTTATTAATGTAGAGAAAGAGACAGAGATTTATCCTTGTAATTAATTAGAAGAGAAGTTATGAAACGTGCGTGCAATGAAATGTTTACACGTAAGTATTATATACAGTTGCAAATAAACATATTGGTTTATTAAACTCGTGATGTATAAACGTGCGTCAAGAAGATCATACGATTCTCATATATTTACGTATATGCATGATGCTACCTATGAAAAAATAATATGTTTACACGTATAAAAAGAAAAACGATATGTATACTTATTAATTGTAAACACGTTTTAATGAGTGAAATTAGTCAGCGTTAATTAATACAGAAGACTCGCTGATTATCGATTGCCCAAATCAATAATGTGAACTGACATTTATACATATATGTGTATTATCATCATATATGCGTGAATAATGCTTACTACACAAATACGTGAATTCGTATAGAAACTAATGAGAAGTTCTTTAGCTATGAACTCCGATTGAATACTTTGTTATTGCAAACAGGATAAACGATATTCTGAAATATTTGATGCGAATATAGGATGATTACAATTTGACATCGTAAATAAGGAGATAGTTCGTTACAATATTATAATAAAAATTCGTGTGCAGCATGTAATATAAAATAAGACGAAAAGAGAACGAATGCTGATTATCGTACTGTTACCCTTTAAGTGTCATTTTTAACGCATTCGTACCAGCTGTTGCAACACTTCAACTAACGCGTCTAACTTTTCTCTTATATTATGCTATTCCCAGTGATATTACCTTCTTAAATTGAAAGCATATAAAAAAAATATAAAAAAAAAATGTCCTTAATCAGTGTAAACTATTGTGCTATTATAAAGCAAAAATAAAAACAAAAGAAACGTAGATAAACATTCAATAAGTTAAATTTAATTGTAGCCTCAATTTGTTGTTGATACACGAGCAACAACACAGATAACATTTAATAAGCTATTTGTATGACGATAAACTTCCTGAACGATAAATGTATTTAAGTCTGATGATAAGACGAATTTGGTGTTGTAACCTTGAATATCTCGGCTACTCGGATTCGTCGCTCGAACGGGGACGGTTGTCGAGTGCCAAGTTCGACGCAGCGATTCGAAATAAAGTTCAAACGTTTGAAGAACGTAGACACATACTCGGCACACAGAGAAGGTGAGGGAGATGGAGTTAGAATCGTAATACCTTTTCATCGATATTCAGCGAGGTCTTATCCTAACGCGATTTACGAGCTGATCGAACAGTTCACAATGCGCTCCTTCAAAAATATCCTTTTCTGTTGACATAAAAAAGCGTTAGTTCGGTCTTGCAGGAACGTTTTCTCAAATGGAAGCTCGCCAGTTTCGACGGGAAATCTCATTTAACTTGAATAGTAACGACTACCGCCGTTACGAGTAAACGATCGCGACCGATTAACATCGGTGGATCGATTTTTACGGGCTCTTTACTTCAAAAAGAGGAGAAAGAAAAAAAATAGAATAAGAACAAAAAAGAAAAAGAAAAAGCAAAAGAAAAAGAAAAAGGAAGAAATAGAGTTGATCTAACTAAAAGTCTAACTAATGTAAGTTGAAGTTTTCTATCGATTTTCGCCTCGTTTGTTTAACGAAAACTTCTCGTTACTTTGCTCTTCTGCATACGATTCGATTATGTGTGTACATATATTTGTACATATATAGACTTTGTATATATATATATATAGACTTTTATCAATCGATCTCTATATATGTGCTGCAAGCAAATCCACCGTTCCATTTCAGTTGAGTTCGAAAATCAAGTCGAAATAGGAGTTTCTGTTATCCATTTATGTCGCTACTCACGAACGTGAGCTATGAAAAAGTGATAAAAGTGTAAGAACTGACCAAAAAATCAAAATCAAAATAATATAAAGCACATCTTCCAACGTGACATGAATTTCCATGTGGAATTAAAGTCATATCCAGGTTCCGTCGATATTGGAAGTTAGTTCTTCGATATTGGAAAAGCATCGACATTCGTACGAGTATAAATATATAGTTAACACCATATGTATTTATAAAGAGTTAAGATAAATGATTGTAATGATACATATATCGATTTAAAATTAGGACAGAATATGGGTCTTGCAAAAAAAAAATCATAGATATAGCATTAACAATGTATTGAAATTTTAATCCTGACACGTGATTCCTTTCCAGACCAACGAACATACTGAATTCGTTTCCGGTTTTTCTATTTTTTGGCTTGCAAACATCCGGAAGGAATAAAGATCTCTGAAATTCGACCAGTTGCGAATCGATTACTTTATTCGAGTTGATACGTGATATGGCAAATAGAGATTCTAACGGTGACACGGTAAGAGGATTTGTCTCGTAAGTAGATTATGTTTGTCACGGAAATGCGAGTATTCCGCATTTGACTTAACAGAATAAGAGAAAGATTCTTCTTTACTATAGATAATTGGTCGTACGTACAATTCGCATACACGTGTATTAGGCACAGCAATTAATTCGGTTTCTTTTAAACAAATTTAGTATATTTATTTCAAAGTTTTAAACATTTTCAATAATTTGAATCCATCGTAGAGACACTTGGCAACACCTACACCAACAGTTCTAATCAATAATCACAGATTATAAAATTAGATTCACTTAAAGGGAATAATAATTTGTCGGAAATCTCACTCAGCTTTCCTCATCATTTTCCATTATTCTTATTTTCGCCAAGCACTTCCATTCGTTTTCCCGAACAAGCTTTCCAAGGACATCGCCAGCTTATTTTCGTATGAATGAGATTCAGGAGTGTTCGAAGAGTGAATTTTAAAAAGCTAGCAAGTTGCAGGAACGCACGATATCTATTGAACGACTGCCTAAACCAGACATGTTTTGTCTATTGGCGAATAAGAAACTACGTCTTGTCTTCTGGTTATGACACGGAAAAATTCTTACAACGAACGATTCCCTAAATAAAATCCACTTTTTCTATTTTGTTTTTTCTTTTTACATCCATTAACAAACGTATATCTATTAAATGTAACCGATAAAAAATTAGCACACGGTTCCTTTCATATCGAGAGTAGATACTCGATAGTAAAGAAAAATCTGTTACGATAATATAAACCCGAAAAGAAAGAATTGTTAGCAATAGTAACGGAAACAAGAATAAACGAGTTTGCAATAAAATTCTGCGACGAAACTATCTTCGAAATGTATATTTTAGTTTCAAGTATTTCCGATAAATCCTTCATGTATCTGTTTGAGTTTATATATCAAACGTGAACGTATATAAACGTGGTTAGATCATATATCATATGTGTGCTTATATGTTTACCATTTCTGTATTTGTCCTACACAAGAGTTTCAAACTTAAATATACTTGGTTGTATATATACTAAAAAGGAATATATATATATAGAAAAGAATTAAATGAAACAAATAACTATAAACGTTGCAAGTCCGAAATGGCAATGCTTTTACGCCGAAAAGCCATCGGGAACCGAAGGCAGCCAGGCCTTTCTCCCAAGCGACTCTTTCGACGTAGAAAACGAAACTCGTAAAGTTTTACGAGCTGCCGCGGAGTTCTGCCTCATCCGCGCAAAAGGACCTCTTATCTACGAAAAATGCTTCTAGTAGAGATGCTCATTCTACGTAACGTTTCTTGCACCAACATCATCGACGAAATAACCGATCGAACGTGCAAGATCGGACAGTTTAAATGTATTCCAAAACTTTTTCAACAGAGATAACATTTCTTTTTCTATACATTTCAATATTCCAGTTTGATTTCTAGTCATACGTATATGATAAACTTGTACGTATAACATAATCGAAGAAAGTTAGGAGAAATTTGTATCCTCTAAAAAGTTTTCAATAATTTAATCGATTACTAGATGC